AATGAAGATAAAGAAAGACAAATTGAAAAGTAAGAAGAAGAAAAAAAACAAGGAGACAGAAAGGTCATTTAAAACTTTAAAGCTCACTGAAGTACATAGGCATGGTGGAAGATCTGTGCCTTACCCAGAGGACAAGCTTGGCTGTTACAAGATTGATCAAAACGATGGCCCCCATCATCATATATGACAGAATGATGTACTTGTGAAAATCGGTCAGATACGAAGAACCTGGCAACTGAACAATACAGCAGTCGCCATCGCCACCGTCATCGTCATCATCATCATCATCATCATCATCAGCAGCAGCAGCAGCAGCATTGTCGCCGTCATCATCGTCGCCGTCATCATCATCATCATCACCATGATCAAAACTATCAGATGTCATCATCAACAAATAACTAACATCAGATATCAAGCACCATCGACTGTGAAACTTGTTGTCATCATCAGCCACATCGCAGACATCAAAATTGGAATGATACAGAGAACATTGCCATGCCCCCTGCTGAGAATTCAGAATGACAGCAAGCGCAAATGGGTAAATGGTCCTTTTTAAACTTTTCTTAATTAAAAAAAAAAGATTAGTGGTTGGCCCAAGCGTGCACACTGTCAGTTTTTCCGCACGCAACCTGCTTGGTTCGTCCGGTGCTGACTTAAGTTACATATTTTATTATTTTGTAATATGCCGCTGTCACGCTTGCAAACTGGTTATGGGCCGGGGTAAACTGTTTTCATTGCTGAATTCAATTCAGGCTTTTTTGGCCAAATTTAAAATTTTGATTATTTTTCACTTTTTTCAAGTTTTTTGTGATTTTTTGTTTTTTGACCGTTGGAAATGTGTCTGGTGACCATTTCTCAAATTGTCAATGTTTCCGAACTGTTTTATCCATTGGAATTTTCTGTGGTGACCAATGACCATTTCCAAAAAGTGCTGAAAATTCTCTGAATGCAAATTTGCATTCAAGTGGACTTCTGCCTCACCGTTTCACCCTTTTTTTTTTGCTTTTTTTTTTGGGTGGTTTCAACTGGTTTGTGAATATGGTGTGCACTCTATGGAATGATGCAATTTTTGGTTAAAAAGGCCTTCGGCTTTTCTTCTAAATAGGATTAAAAGAACGCTGAAATTTTCGGCCTCCATTAACCACCCCTCCGTTTATTACAAAACCCAAGGTCCATTTTACCCAAGCTTGCCACCAGCTCATAGAGTGGAAGCCCTCTTGCAAGGCCTCTATCCCAGGTTAACTGCCTGTCAACTAAACGCCCTCTGGCAAGGCCTCTATCACGTGTTTTTTTTTTGAAGCCCTCTTGCAAGGCCTCTATCTCACTCTTAGCGGCGGTAAGAGTGGACACCATATTAACTGCCTGCCAATTAAACAACAACAACAACAACAGAGTGGGCGGGGGTCACTTGCCCGGCCGGGCCAAAAAAATTAAAAAATATACATATATCGTCACAAACAGAAATAGTCAAACAGAGATGCCCGGTAAACCGTAGGCAGAGAGTGAGAGGGAGAAGAGGACAACAAATGAGGGGCTGTGGCAAACTGTTTCGTCGGAGTTTCACCGACTCATAGGGAGGCTGTATGTATATATAATATATATTTTTAAATTTGATTTTGTTTAATTTTTATTCTAAATTTGGTGAAGAATTTCGATGTGACCCCGAGGCAATAGTTGTTTAGTTTATTTTTCTGCATAGCATAGTTTTTTGTTGGAGTTTTTGGAATTGTTTTTTTTTTTTGGGACGTTACCTGGTCCGTGCACAGGCTGGCCACCCGGGACCCGGGCGGCCCAGCTGGTAGCCTAAAAAAAACCCTTAAAATTTGACCCCCCAAGTTGGCCCCAACCCTAATTTCAGTTTTTCACCCGTTAACCCAAGAGCTGAGATATCCTGAAAAAAGTGTTTGGGTTCCCCCGTTAACCGTGTGTGGAGGGATACATGAGCAATTTGGCCCTACCGGGGGTAATGAGATAGAGCTCCCAGGGGGCAGAGAAAAACTAATTAAACAATGCGGTTGTGGGGTTTCCAACTGTCCACAAAATTATTTTGCATCCATGTCAGACGGGTTTATAACTTTATAGTGAAATATCATGTAACTTCTGCAGGCACCAGTCTGAGAGGACATACGTCAACTTTGACGGGCACCACACCGTGGCAGGTTATCGCTCACGAAAAATGAACGCGGTGGCTAGGTATTTCTCTAGTAGGCCACCTTCTCGCTCATCGTCCTTCGGTTTGGGGACGAGATTTAAACATGCCATTAAACATGCCATTAAAGCCCTATCCTTAGTACGCTTGCATTATCATCCATGCAAGTCCCCCAAAGTGAACAAAACACTCTAACAGCAAAGCAATGAGACAGCTATCGGCCGGGGATATAATCGCAAACTACAAAGTTGTTGCAAGTAGCCGACCTCAAGTTTAGGCGGCTATTACCCCCAAGCTCTCTGCCTCCCTCAGGTATGTACTCTCTCACTTTTCTCTCGATTTCGCAAACTTCGGAAGTCCATGGGCTGGTCATCAACGAAGCTGTATTGGCCCCTCTTCAACCGGAGCACGTTTCGTTGTACCCTATGGTATCAACATTAGGGTACCAACATTAGGGTACAAACAAGCCCTTCTTCAACTGGATCACGTTCTGTAGTAGATCATTCAGAATGTGGCGAGTCGGACTAATGACTCCTGGAAGAAGGAAGTCCTTGAGAATAATGTAACCACAAATAATAATTATTCGTGGTTACGAGCGGGAGAAGGAGGGAGAAGCAGCGGGAGAAGGAGTAGCAGCAGGAGGAGCAGGAGGAGCAGCAAGAGGGGGAGCAGGAGAAGGAGAGGGAGGAGGAGCGGGAGAAGGAACGGGAGCGTGGCTATGGCGGGACCTTTGTCACGTTGTTTGGCGGAGGAGGAGAGGGAGGAGGAGGAGTGGGAGGAGCGGGAGAAGGAGCGGGAGGAGGAGTGGGAGAAGGAGCGGGAGAAGGAGCAAGAGATTCAATCAATTTTTCTCATTGTATCGATGGAAGTACCATGAGATCAGTATATTTCCATGTTCTGGCTGAAGATTCATTCCGATTTTTCTCATCCTACACACACACACACTGTGACACACTCAGACCGACATTGCCGTGTTTCAGGAAATGAGCGAAATGGGGTTGAATCTTCCCCTAGAACATGGAAGTATCCACTGCCACGACATGGAAATCTACACTGCCAAAAACCGAAAATGTGGTAGTGCATATTTTCCATGTTCTAGCGACAGATTAATTCCCATTTTGCTCATCCTGTGTGTGTGTGTGTG